GGTCTTTTGAGGACAAGGGTGTTGGGGTCAGTGAAGCACCCTGAAAGATACTGATTCCTGTTTTCTGGGGTGGACTCTTCAGGGTGGACCAGATGTGGTCCTGTCCCCAGGCCTTTCACACCTTGACAGTGGGGACATAACCTTCCCAACAGCAAATATGTCCGCAGGACGCACGGCTGCTGCAGGCCAGGGGAGCCTTTTCTCCAGACCCGTCTTCATGGGAATTCTACTGGTGCTGGCTCCTCATACCTTCAGTTGTAAAGCCCTTAAGATTCAAGGGTACAGTAGAGGGGCAGGGGCACTCCAAGTCTGTTTCAGCCTGAGGGATGGGATGGATTTGGAAACACCAGGGCCGAGTGTGCTCATTTGCTTAGGAACTTGGAGGCCCTGCCTCCCATAGAGCACACTCTGGCAATCACTAAAAGGGCAAATGGGGAAGGATGGGGATTCTCCTTGTAAACTGGAGGTATTTGGGCTACACAAAAAGAGTGAGAAGGAAAGAGGTCCCTATAGGAGTATTTATGGACTCCCACTGCCCTTGCCCAGAGAACCTAGAGATTGGAACTTGGGTTGGAAGAACTGATGAATCTTTACACTTCTTTGCCTTCCTGAGCCAAGAGCCCTCCATGGAGACTTATAATGGTGTATTGTTTATGGAGGGCTTCAGGGAGGCAGAGGGGACCTTACTCAGTACCCTGAAAAGCTAATTAAGAAGCAGTATTAATTACTGTGTTGTATTCGCAGCAGAGGCTGAACAGCAGTTTTCTTTGGGATTGAGAACCAGTAGCTCCTACCTGCCTTTGCTTATTCATTTGTCCAGCCAGCAGCTATTTGAAATGGGACTCAAGATTCATCCTCAGAAGGTCCCTTCTACTGGAGATCTCTTTGCCAAGTGCAGTAGTTAACACTTGGAACTATCTGTCAACCTAGCTTTCATCAACCATTTATCCAAGTAGAATTTGTGGCCCCTATGGTATAGTCAGACAAACCATGACACTTGTGAGAGGTGGCACCAATGATGTCTGGCCCCACCTTTGGGAAGTGAAGGGATAGGCCACATCCTTTGCCAGTGTGAAGTCAGGAATCACTGGACTTGGGGACCTTGGGTGAGTCAGTTAGGGGACATGCTAGGAGTCCATAGAGTTCGGTGGACACGTTTGTGTTGTACCTGGGATGTGGAGAGGGGGTTGCCTGCAATCGGGAACTAGTCCTAGGCCCTGGTGGTGGGGTGTGGAGCCAGAGAATGGATTTTCCCTCTGTGCAAAGCACATCAGTTGCTTTGCGCCTTTGTTCTGTCTGGCTAGCACTGAGCATTGGCCTTTTGGTTGACCAGCTCTGAGTGGAACAAATTTCAACAAATATTTGGATACAAAGTTCAGCCATGTGGGCCCCAGGAATTCCCAAACCAGCAATGGAGCTTGTGGGGACAGCTGTAGGAGCCCTCAAAGGGGACATGTCTGACAAGCTGACAAGAAGTCTCCCTAGAAGGGGCTGAGGCCATAGTGATACAGCTGGGATAGGAGAGGCACACGACAGCCCCTTGTGGAGTGGCACAGCTTTGGGCTATACCAGAGAAACCCCCAGCCAGAAACCCAGAGTAAATAGTCCACACAGGGCAATGATGTCAATCACGCCCTGCCCATTCCTTCTGCTAATTAACATCTCCAAGTGGCACAGTCTCTTCAGGAGAATTCTTGGTGCCTTAGGGGCAGAGCCTAGGAACCATACTGGGCATATTGAAGAGTAAATTTACATGTTTTACAAATACCTCCTCTCTTGCTACAGGTGCCTTTCCTAGAGGTTTTTAGAAAGACGGGTCCCTACCTTCTCTTTCTGTAGTACACAAGCATGCGTGGGTGTGAGTGTAGTGGAGAGAAATGCCACAGGAGTTTCCTTTTCTGCTGGCTCCCACACAGTCCACAGTCAGAACTGTGTGCAATTTCTAGATCCCACCGAGCCTGGGAAGACTAGCGCCTAACTCTTGATGCCAGTGGCCACACTGTTGGCTAAGAGGGAAGGCCCCAGTGAGGCTCCCAGCTGGACTGTCTACCTCAAACCTCTCTCTCGTGCCCCTTGCAACCACGCCATCAGGTCCACCAATGGACAGCTCTATAACTATATATATATAAGTATAACTATATATAGTTTTATATATAGTTTATATATAACTATATATAGTTATAGTTTTATATATATAGTTATAGTTTTATATATAGTTATACCTTCAAGTGAGAAAGTGAGCAGTGTCATGAAGGTAGCTTCCCCGAGTGCTAGTTTGCATATCTTTTTATGCACACAGAAATCACTCCTGGGGTTCAAGGAACTATGGATATTTTACTTACAAGTTACTTTGGAGTTGGAAAACATCTTCCTTTTCTTTTTAGAGGATCAGCATTTCTTTAGGTAAGAAACTTCCAAACAGAGAAGTTCTTAATTTAAACCAGGTCCCAGTTTAGGCAGAAGGATCTTTTAAAGAACATTTTCTTTCTTGATACATTGGGCTGTAGGCTATGGCAGCCAGGAATGCTAGTGCCTTGTTCTGGACTCAGATGGCCAAGTGACCCGGTACCAGAAGGAATGTGCACAATGTAACTTTAAAATGTCTTCATGATGAGATTGCTTCGGGTCTGAGACCTAACAAATGATTATAAATGATTATTCATTGAAATCTGTTCCTTTGCTTAACTATAACTGGCACAGTGTGCTGTTTTGGACCCCACCCTGTCCTTTAGGCCCACTAAATGTCTACTGACCTACTCAACATTGTCATGCCAGGAAAGTGCTTCCCTTGGGCCTCAGGTGTCCTGTGATGTGTGCAGGGCACAGCCCGAGTGTCCCTTCCTGTGTCTGTCTTCTGGGACGGCCCCTCCTCCACATGCCTGGTACCTCACTGTACCAGTTCGCCCCTAGTGTGGGCACTGCAGATGCTTGGCGAGGCAGAAATAGTCCACTGCAGGCCTTGTCCACTCTGCTGCCTCTGTGGTTGTAGAGAGCACCTGGAGCTGAATGGGGGAAGTGGAAAGGAGGTGGAGGACAGCTGAGGGTCTTGTGCCTAGAACCTTACCTGGCTTAGGGTCAACTATGGGCGTGGCCCTACGATGTGTACAAAGTAGAGGGCTAAATTAGGGCAGGTGAAGGCTGCAGAGGCTGATTTGCCTGATTCCCAAGATGACACACTGAAGTGGGCCCCAAGAGACCTTCAGAGGCGGGAACAGGCACAAGTCACTCTCCTGCCTTCACCTTGCGCTGTTTTTAGAGCTGTTTTTTCTCAATGAGATGGTCAGAGTCTTGAAAGAGGAACCTGTGCTATTCTTGTGATTTTCATCTCTGGCCACAGTGGCGCCAAGTGGATGGGGAGCAAGTGACAGATGGGTGTATGTGTCTCCTCCTCGGTCTCTTCATGTGCTCCCGGGAATCTCCACATCATGCATGTGGCTTGCGCCTATCTGGGCTCCCATCTACGACTGGAGCAATTGCCTTCATTCTGGGAGCCATGTGTCTCCGCCTCTATGCAGGTCTGCCCATTGGGGTCACTTTCTGCCAGTGTCTCATGTCCACCTTACATCCATGTCCACTGCAGGTTAACCATCCCCCACAGGGCCCTTGAGGCTTCATGTACTTCCTGAGGGGACTCCAGGGAGGGAAATGCCATCCCCACCTTTCACTTCCTGCCCCACAGATGCTCCATCACCTGCCACATCTGTCTCTCTATTTGTCATTTTCTGGCCCCATCTTGATGATGGGCTTGGAGCCAGGCTGGGGTAGGGCTCTGCCTGCGATATCTCACTGGGAGTGGGACCATGCTGCCAGGGTGAGGAATCCTTGTGAGTTTAAGTCCTCCCCAAGTTTATAAACCAGGATGGGTAGAAGAGTTAAACAGAAGAACCTGAGAGCCCACAGGGTCTGGGTGTTGGAAGTTCCTGCTACAGCAGAGGGGAGTCTATTAATGAGGCTGCTTTGCAGGAAAGCCACTTAGCTAGGGGATGCCAGTGCTGCCGCAGATGCTAACGAGGACTGGCTCGGCTGCAAGGAGGAGCAGGTGCCTAACGAGGTTCACAGTGGGGACCCACAGAGATGGTCTAATGGCTCCAGTGGCATTTCAAAGATAGAGCTCTGTGGGGGCCATGACCAGGAGTCCAGGTAATGAGGGGACACAAGGCTGGGGTGGATATGCTCAACTGGAGGTAGCACAGATTAAAAACCGCTCACGAGGTCAGCAGCTTGGAGCTTTTTGGATGCAGTCATTTGCACTTTGCTCTACAAAAGCATCCATGCTCTGGGTGGACAGGAGGACTCGTATGGGTTCTGTCCCTTGAGAACGCAAAGTCAGGGTACCCGGCTGGCTACCTCTCCCACGTGGTAGGAGAAGCCACAGCCCATGTCACCCTCTGGTGCACTGTGGAGCTTTGAAGCCCCTCCTGGCCCCCACAGCAGTCTGGTACAGAGGGGCTGGTGGTGAGACCGTGAATATGCAGTGGCAGGGAAGCAAACTCTATTGCAAGTCTGATCATTTTCTATTTTTTCCAGCCAAATGCAAAGAGGGCTTAAGTAGGTGGCTGATAGAGCATTTTTGATGATAGACTGCCATGCAGTTAGAAGGATACATCTCAGAAGTTGTATAGAGAATTGAATGACATCGCTACAGCATCTACTTATGTATTTGAAAAGCCTTCTCAGCACATAGAGCTATAAAAAAAAAAATGAAAGAAAAAAATGGATTCTGAGTCCTGATTGGTTCTTGCAGTAAAATTCATCCATAGACTCATGAGCAATTAAATTCTTATCCATTTCATGAAGGCGTGTTTTCAGTTATGTTTGTCTTTTTAGGTTTAATAATTATAACATTTTTAATATCTAATCAATTTAATCCATTGTTTACGGCATTTTATAACAAAATTATAATCAATGTAGAAGACTTTAAAAAGTTAAATCTTCATCACTGAAAATTAAACATTTTAATTTTAGTTCATAAATATATTTTGTAGCAAAAAAATGCAATAGGGCGAGCCACGAGACTTTCATTAAAGAAAATTGCATCACTCTAAAATTCCATAGGCGTGGATGGATGAAGATACAAGTTAAAGAGAAAGGGAGTACTGTAAATTCTCCACCTGTTAATAAAGAGCTGGCTCGTGTGCTTTTTCGATAATGAGGCTGAGTATTAAATTGCTGCAGTGTCTACATTCCATGTGGTATATTTTAAAGTACTGGTAGTTTTATTTTAAAATGTAAATATTTACCAAATGCTAGAGATCAGATCCTTTGCACCTTTAAAACCTTATTCAATACCAAGTTAAGAATGTGCAGGGTGGGATACATAATTTCGCGAAGTTTATTTTTGTGGGGGTATCTAGAACTTTTTCAAACTAATGACCTAGTGGCTTCTCTCTGGATTCTGGTTACTTTCCTTGAGGTGGATGGGGATGGAAATTAAATCAGAAACAGCCTGAGTAGCCTTGTCTACCTGCCCCTGCAGAGTCTGGGGCTTTGGCCCCTGGGACAGGTCTGCTTTACAGGTTGAGCTGCACACTCCATCCATGCTGAGTCAGTCAACTGCCTTTGGTTGGGGCTGGGGGTGGGTTTCAGCCTGAGGATCGATAAAGTGACCTGCAGGTGCTCTGAGCGTGATGACTCCAAACTCCACAGGTTAGAGAGGAAAGTCTGCCCCAGCCAGGGCCAGTGTCTGCTAGAGAGGGGAGACATGGCTGTGTTCTGCAGAACTAGCTCCCGTGTTTGGCCCACACTGCCCTCAAATCCTGGTCACACGACCTGAGAGGAGGCCAATTCCAGGGCATGGTTTATTTTTCAGCTGGTACGGGGTGGGGAGCTGATTCATTCTCATCACCAGATACACTATCCCCACCCACTCCCTCCTACCCCCGTACTTTTGCTCCCCCTCTTTTCTGTGCTGTGTATCTGGTTGGCCTAAGGGTGTGGCTCTGCTGGCTGTCTCTCCCTCCTGACCTGGCCCTTCCACGTCCCCAATCTGAGCACTGGGGAGGAAGCAGGCAACATCCTGGCTGCTGTCCCAAGGAGGAGATGACTGGGGAGAGGGGAGGGACAGCCAGTTGTGGGCAGGGTGCGAGGAAGGCTTCTCTGTTGACAGTGCTTGGATGCAGCCAGCTGGATGACCCTTGATATCCCAGCTGCAGACCCTTGAGTGTGGAGAAGCGGGGAGCAGGACTAAGCAGTGGGACTGCGCAGCGAGCCATGTGACTCGGGCAGGCCTTTTCCTTGGCCTTCGTTGAGTAGGGCTACAGTGAAGGTCCATCAAGAGAGGCTGGGATTGGCAAGTGCCTAAAGGTGTCTGCCCTACTCTTTTTAGGAGTTCCATGGCCACCCTCCTCTGCTCCTTCTTGCATGGAGACTTGCGGCCACAACAGGCCCTGCATCCCTCAGAGCCCTCTTCAGCTCGTACAGCGGCTCTCCTGCCAGGCTGGAGGGCTGGACTCTCCTCTCCCTTCTCCTGTGTCCCTGGGGCTGTGCAATATGAAGGGAGGAGGAGGAGGATGGTGGGGAGCTGCCTCTGTGGTGGGGTCTTGGGCAGGTGAGTGACCCAGCAGTCACACAGCAGCTGTCTGTTTGATGCTGTGGAAGCTGATCCTCGTGGGTGATGTGGGGATGGACATGGCCCGGGCCACAGGCACTCTGAGGGAGTGATGGTCCTGCCAGCGGTGCCACCTCTTCCTCACAGCTGAGCGCACCTGTTGTGGGTGGAGAGGCTCAGTCACCCAGGGCTGCCCCTCTCCCCTGGGAGGATGTTCAGGGAGGCCAGGGGCGGTTCCCACGCTGAGGCCTTCCCCTGACCCTGTTGCCCACTCTCTGCAACTTCTCAGGGGGCTCTCTTTGCCATCCCTCTGCAGAAGCCTGACCCCTTTCACATTGTCCTGGTGAATTTTCCAGCTTCCTTGAGGCACTCTGCCACCTCAGAGATAGCATCACGGGTGGCACCGGAGCTTTGTAAACCTGCCCCTTGATCCCTACTGGGGCCCTGCTCCCACCATGCTGGAAGTGTGGTTTCCTCTGAAAGGACCTTCTCTCACACCCCGGGACCCCTTCCCTTGCACAGCACGTACTTCCTGAGAGGGAAAGCTCTATTCACTTCCACACTTAGAGCTGTTCCATGTATTATAAGGGAAGACTTCTGTAAAGTGCACCCATATCTGCATCCTAACCATTAATGTTCCCAAAACATACACTGTTGGCTCCAGCGGCTCCTCCCATCCCTACCCTCCAGCCAGCAGAGCCAATGTTCCCCACTGGCCTCTGCATTCAGGCGTAGCACCGTCAGCAGGGACCCTTCCTGCACCTGCCCTGTGCCATCACCGGCCAAGTGGCTCCATGGGGCACTGCATGCCCCTGGGGTGCCTGAAACGCTCAGGGCCAGGGCTGTGTCTGCTGTTTGCTGCAGAGCCTACTGTGGTCCTCACCACCCCCCTTTGACTGGCAGTGCCTCTCCCCGTACCCATTGTGCCAGGATCCTGGACCTCCTTAATTGACCAGGCTTCACTGTGGCCTCGAGCTAGAGCGCCTGCTGCCTGGGGTGTATTCTTTTCTGTGGTGCTCTGAGTCCATAAAGACCTGCATGGCAGACACCTCACCTCTTTCTGGAAGCTTCCTTCTGTTACCACCTCTGCTCTGGCTTCTCTATGCCCCCGGGCCTACAGCCTGGCCACCCTGCTCACCTTCTCTCCCAGGTATGCATGGGGTGCTGGCCTATTAGTTCTGGCCTTGTGATGGGTCTTCTAATCTGCCTCCAGATTAATCTGCTGGAGTTCTGGTCCTCTAAGGCTGGGTGGTTTCTTAGGCCTCTGTTCCCTCCTTCAGGGCAGAGCTGAGCCCAGCCAGGGACCAGGCTTTCCCAGAAGGCTGATGTCTGAGGACCCCCAGAGCCCACACCATCCCAAGGGCCAGGCCGCGTACCTCTCCATTGAAGAAGCAGTAGAAGACAGACACAAAGAAGCCCTAGAAAGCAAGGAGGGAGCCATCAGGGACCGGTGGAGGAGCTGCTATATCTGGAGGTGGGGTAGGAGTCAGAATGGGGGCGGGACCACAATGACCCATGGACCCTGGATCAGTGCTGGACAGAGTTCAGAACTCATGGCTGCAGCTCATGGGATGTGGTTACACCGGGATCCTCTGAGGGAGAGCACCGTGGTCATCTACCATCAGCCTAAAGCAGGATACCAGCCTACTCAATGTTTTATGGCCTGTCCCAGGGCAGTAAGTAGGGTTGCTTTCACCCTGAGTCCTCAGAAGTGCTGGGATGCCTGAGCCCTGGGGTGGGGATGATAGGGCTCGGCCCATGGTCACATCTGGGGCCAGGCTGGGTTCCAAGTGAGCATGTGTATGCTCTTGTATCTCAGTGTGTGTGAGTAACTGAACTCCAGGCTTGCACCTCGGGGTCAGGGATGCTCTCGCAGGAGGCCCACCTGAAAAGACTGCAGGAAGGAGTTGAAATAGATGAACACGATCTGCGACAGTTCGTCCTCACCGGGGTTGACGAAGAAGAGCATGTAGGTGATGCCCAGCAGGGGCAGGAGGACCAGGGTGGCCTTCACTGCCTTCCTGGGGGTCGAGAGGGCAATGACACATCTGAGCCCACACTTCGGGCAGACCCCACAGGTGGGAAGAGGTGGATCTGGTGGGCTTCCTCGGGGTGCCTGAGTGAGTGAGCTCCCTGCATGAGGGCTCACAGGCCTCTGCCTGGTGGCAGGGGGTGGCCCAGATGAACCCTCATTTCTCCTCTGCAGCAGACAAGGCACCCAGGGGCCATGTACCTGTACTGCATTGTCTCGGATGTGGTGGATGCTCGTAATTTTGTCATTAGGATCCTGACAATGTTGAACAGAAACACAAAATTGATCTGTAAGGAAGAAGGCAGAGAGGGAAAAAGGAAAGACCTTGAGTGGGGGATGAACTGAGAAGAGCCCCACCTCCCAGGCACACACCTGTCACCCAGCACGTGCCCAGTGCCCCAGCCCCTGCCCCTGCCTGGCCAGGACAGGGAGATGCCCCTTCTCTCTAGGGCCTGCTCTCTACCCTCAGCCCCAAGGGAGGAAAGGCAGCCTCTACGACGAGGGATGACAGTAAGAAGCCACTCTTCTGGGGACACCTTGAAGTCCCAGCCCCGGCCCTGAGTAGGGCTCTGCCTGAGCCCTCCCCTCAGTCACGGCATCCCCTTTTTTATTAGTATATGTTCATGATACATCGTTACGTTCATCTTGAGAAACTGGTAATATACATATTGTATCTTGGTCATCTTTACTTCCCTGGGAGTCACGGGGGTGGCTCTGGAAGGTCACCCCTATTGTGGAAGGGGTGGGGGACACTAGTGACTGGGTGACCAGTGTTGGAGATGTTCATGTAGGTAAGGGTAGGACAGCATGGCGCATTTGATTCATCTATTGACAGCTTTCGGAGTCTGCCGCCACCCTGGGCTCTGTCTTGGAGGGGAACTGGCTGGCTGGCTTACAGTGGACTCTCCCTGGGGCAGGGTCAATGGATGCCCCTAGGGACAGCCAGCAACATCCAGAAGAAGGCACAGCACTTTTCAGCATCCCCCTTTGCCATCCTAGAGGCCTCCCAGTGGGCACCCTTGGGTCAGGAGCCACAGTAAGCTAGAGTGTGGCTAATCAGCTTGTATTTGTTATTCTTTGGCGTGAGAGTTGGGATGCTACTACTGGAATGGTTGGCCTCACACCCTTGGTCAGCAATGCCTGGGATGCCCTGGTACCCACTCCTCTGGTTCTCCTAGTTGTCTGCAACCAGGGTGGGTCCAAATCTGGTGGGATGAGCGAGGTGCCCAAAGGGCTGCCAGTCTCATCCATACAAGGCACCCTGACCTTGACCCGGTGGTGGTGCTGAAGGCGGAGCCTGAACCCTGTGGGGAGCCAGCCATGGTCCAGGGTGTCAGCAAGTGTGCTCTGCTTGCCAGGCCCTGCCTCTGGGCTCCCTCGTGCACAGAGCTATACAAGCATTGCCTCATTTAATACCCTCCACAGACCCTGTGAAAGAGCATTGATTATATCCATTTTATGGATGACAAGTCTGAAGCTTCAAAAGGTTAAGTCATATGTGAGGGTCACATCTATAAAGCTGATACCTTGGCTTGTAGTTGTCAAATGCAATGATCAACAGCCCTTGCCTGCATCCCCTTCTGGCCAGGTCTGAGTGAGGGTGTATATGTGTGTGGGTGCACATGAATCCATGGCTCATATGGTATCAAGGCCCGAATTTGCAGCCTGGTAAAGCCTGGGGACCCTGCACCATGCTGGGACCCAGCCAGGACACCAGGCCTTAATGATGGGAGCTGGGTTCTCACGCTCTCCTTGGCACAGGTTGGACTGAAGTCTTTTCAGCCTTGCCCCGGGGATGCACTGGCCAGATGGAGTGATTAATAGCTCCTCTGCTAAAGGAGTGATTAATCTCTCACCACCCACCCCACACCCAGGAGCTGCACAGTCCCTGGAGACAATCACAGATGGGAAGATGAATGGGTAGCCCAAGGCTTGAGGCTCCTGGGAGGACCTCATTTACTTCATTCTGAGCCTCCCCCAGCCTCTGGCCCCAGTCCACTCGACTCCTGAGTCAGCTTCCTCACCCATGTGGTGGGCCTCTGCGGCCTGGAGGCTCTGTTTGTCCGTTTGCTGGTCCCTGTGGCTGCGTGCTGCCTTACTCTCCACTCCACAGGCCTGTGAGTCTGTTCTCTGTGTGTATGTGTGTCTGTCTGGTACACGGTTTGCCTGTGTTTCTCTTCACCTGCCTCCATGTGCAGGTAGACTGGAATGGGACTCTGTACTGGCCTGACCTCAGAAGGGGACTCTTCTCAAAGTACTCACAGGCAAGACAGAGACCCATGTTAGCCCAGGAATGTCTGCAGGCTCACACACACACATACACACACACACACACACACACACACACACACACACACACACACAAACACACACACACCCTTCCAAGTCTCTGCCTAGAAAATCCATTCCTTCTGAACCTGGGCTGGGCTTTCCCTAAGTTCCAGATCCCAGGATGGAAGTGGGGGACACAGGCAGACATGAGACTTTGACCCTGGGTGACCCCAGACTGGAGGGTGGCTTGGGCAAGAGCTAGTAGCCTGGTGAGCACAGGGGCAGAAGTTGTGGGGTTTAGGGGGCCTTTGATGAGGCTGCCCATAGCCTGCTGCCTGCTTTCTTGTAAGGACCTCATAACCTAGCTCCTGAGTTTCGGGCACAAGTCACCTTAATGCATAGGTCAATTCTATGTAATACCAAGTACCTGGCCTATTCTGATCCTTCCTAACTCTCTGAGGGGAGACTGTTGGAATCAAAATATATTCTCACCTTTGCCACATTTCCTTGCGTTAAATATTATTCAACTCACTAGCCAATCACTGAATGTCCACCTACTCTTTATCCATCTATCCTTCAACCCACCAACTATATCACTCAACTATTCGTCCAGTATTTATCCATCCATCCAGTCAATAGGTGGCCCTCCAGCACTCTTTGATGTTGCTCTTATCCTTATGCTGAGCAGGATCGGGGCAGGGTCTAGTGTGGAACATCTGGGGGACAGCACATTACCTCTCTCCTCACACCAGGAGGCATTTAGTGAAGCTGCCCCTGGCCCACCTCAGCCTGGGTCTGTGAAGCCTGAAAGGCATTCTTACTTTGAGGCTGTGTCCCAGCCTCCCCTGCACACCAACTCATCACAGACACCTTCTTCTCCCTTCAGGAAGCCCTCTGACCACCCCAGCCCATGCTGAGCCTTTGTTCTCTATTCTTAGACTCCCTCTTCCTTGCTTCCAGAGCAAAACCATCCCGGTTCTTCAGTGACCACTGGCTCTTGTACCCTGACTTGGTTTCTAGCTTTATGTAATTATTCTTTCATTCTGTGAATCAACTCACCACATGCCAGGCTCTGCTCTGGGTACCACAGATAGGGAAGTGGACAGGCAGACATGGTCCCTGCTTCGGAGGCCTAGCTGGGGAAGGGCAGGTGTGGAGAGGAATGCCATGTTTCTTAGGGTCCAAGAAAGGCCTGGGGAGATGGCACAAAAGGTGAGACTTGAAGATGAGGCCATGCTAGCAGGTGATGGTGGGGAGTGTGCTCCAGTCAATCGAGACCACAGGTGAAGCCATCCTGGTGTGAAAGAGCCCAGCCCCTGCATGGTGGCCAGTGTGGCTTCAGTGATGCTGGGGGTGAAGGGATGAGACAGGAGAGAGGCTCAAGCCCAGGGAGATGGTGGAATCATCTGGACACCAACCAGGCAAATCCACCTCCTGCTGTGACACGCCCTTCCACCCCACCCAGGATGTTGTTAGCTCAGGTTTGGGGCTGCTGCCTGGGGAGGGCGTTGCAGTGCAGGTGAGACCAGCACCCTGATAAAGCTTCCCCTGAGAGGTTCTGCCTTCACCCAGCTACCATCTGTCCCTCAGCTTAGCCCCAGTGACATTTTGGTTTCTTCAGGAAAACAGCTTTGTCCCCATGAGATCCTGTGAGCATGGGTGGGGCCCTAGCCAGAGCATCAGACCACCGTGTGATCTTGTGACTGGGTTCTGGAGATTTCAGTCCCTACACTCCTGCATCAGGTCGGGCCTATGGGGGACTCATGCTGACTGCATGGTCCCAGTGCTTACACCATTCCAGGTGCTGCTCTACGTACTGCATGACTATTCCTCACGCAGCCACTTTTACAAGTGGTTATGATTATTAATTCCATTTCACAGATGTACAAACTGAGGATCAGTAGGCTATGTGAGTTGCCCATGCCACACAATTAACAGGGGATGATGTCAGGACTGTCACTGAGGCAGCTGGCCATCAGCAGCCTTCTTCTAACCCCGACATCACAGCTGCTTCTGCAGGGGTGATTTTCAGCAGCTCCCAACTGAGATCTGAGCTCAGGAAACCCTGGGAGCTATCAGCATGTGGTCCCGAGCCTGTGGCAAGCAGCAGGTGTCCCCAGCCCACTAGTCCTCATGTGACACTGTAAGGCCGTGAAGCATCCTTGTGCTACAGGTGGGAAATTAAGGCACCAAGAAGACAAGAGTTCCTTCAGGATCACACCACAAATGACCAGGTGCACCACCCGTTGCTTGTTCCATGATGCCCCCCAGCATACCCTTTGCCCACAACCTCCCAAGGCTCCAGTGCTCGAGCCACCTGAGACCTGCTGGAGGATTGGAGGCTGGGACAGTCGTTAAAGCAGTGTACACAGCCTCCCCCTACCCCCATGCTCCCGAATGTTTCTTGACTGTTTATGCATGTGCAGAGGCAAGGAGGGAGAAAGGGAGGAAATAGGAAGGAATAAAGGAAGGAAGGAAGGAAGGAAGGAACTCACATTCCTTGGCTCATCTCTCCCTATGTGGCTTCTGCTGTCTTGGAGCCCAGGTTGGGTGTCCCAGTCCCCAGCATGTCCTGTGCTCTGCCATGTCCTGGCCTGAAGCAGGCTTCCTGAGGCTCTGCTCTGTCTCAGAACCACCTCCCCACCTGGTCCAGCCTGTGGCTCCCTGCACCACACATGCACCAAGACGTGAATCACTCCAGACTCATGGGCAACATGCCTGCCTATTCCTTACAGATGGGTGAGCCTACTGACTCATTGCTAGGGAGCCCTTGAAGATGGAGTGAGGGTGTCCTGCGGCCTGGCTACCAGTCTGCCTCAAAGCCCTGGGAGGCTGGTCCTCACTGGACACCTCAAGTTTTCCCTTCTATTAGCATTTTGCAGGGAGGTGAAGGGCAGAGTCCCTAGCTGGGCCATGGAGAAAGCCAGACAATACACCTCTCCACCTGCAGCTTATCATGCTCAGGTCCCAGAGTGCACACAGCAAGGCAGCTGGGTGCTGGAGACAAGCCCAGATCCCCAGGGCCAGGCTGGGTCCCCAGGTCTGCCTCTGGAACCGGGGCAGCTAAGACATCCCTGGGAGACACACTGAGCTAGGAGCCACCATCCCTGGAATGCAGAGCCCAGACTTCCTCCAGACAGACCTGATGTGCCACACCCTACAGTAGATGTCCAGCCTGACTCCCCTGGTCCTACTTTCACATGCAAGGGACAGTGCCCAGCCCAAGGGTCTCTCTGGTGTCATAGGACCTAGCTCAGGATGAGGACAGGGTGGCCTGGGATTCAGGGGGTTTAGTGTCCTGGGGGCAACCCCACTGAGGAGGCATGGTGCAGCAGGGTTAGCAAGCCAGCTGCCTCACCTTCAAGGGGACAATTCTTTCCCCCACCAAAGGGACAGTTCTAAGACCTGTGTACATGTTTCCTCAGGGGCTATAGTGAGATGGATCCTGAATGTTCTGGTGCTAATCTACTCATTGTCTCCCTCTATTTAGATTTCATCCTTTCTCTGCCTTCTCCAAACCCCTTGCTGTGTGTTCCTGAACCACCTCTCAAACAAATGAATAGCACCATCTTGGTCTCCTGGTTCAAATTCCGACTGTTACTATGCATTTGTGTGGCTTTAGGTAAGTTGCTTTACTTCTCTGAGCTCTGCTTCCTCAGTGGTCTGGTGGGAATGACCACAGAGCTTGCCTTGAAGGTCGCACATGGTTACATACTCATGGAGGGCTCTAAGCCTCATGAATGCCATGTCCTTTCTCCCACAACAACAGGCAGGAGCCTGGCTTCCTGCAAACTCTGCCACTCAACTGACTTCCCAGAACCCAGAAATAAGTGAGCGTCTCTTAGCAGCAGAAACAGCTGGGGAGGGCCGGAGAGGCAGGCATGCCAACCACATCACCAGCCATGAAGACATCAGCAAGTGGTGGTGACAAGGCAAGAGATCTATCCTGAGCTCAGGGCCACCAGCCAGCTTATCTGTTTCTTCACCTGTAACCCCAACTTCTTTTGTCTCAAGGATGAAGGATTGGAAGGAAAACAGAGAGGGTTTGGGGAAGGGCTTAGCTTGGAATCTGGAAGCCTCGGTTGGGGCAGATAACTGGGTCCAAAGGGAAGATGGTCACGGAGCCAGAGAACAGGACACACATGAGAAAGCTGGAGGTTGAGACTCCCTTATGCCCTACTTTTGTCTCATTTTCTTGTTGCTTCCTCATGACTGGCCCCACATCTTTACAGCAATGAACACTCCTGCCTTACTGGTCCCCATCCAGGCCACCATTTCTTGGCTGGGTCCCAGGCTCAGCAAAATCCCTATCCTCCTGCCACTGGCTCTGGCAGCTGGTGGGAAGGGAGTGGATCTTGTGGGGTCTCCATTCACACTGAGGGCCAGTGCCTCACTGCAGCTGGGAGTCCAAGGACAGTCCTCCCCCACTCATTGCTGACAAGGACTGCTCCTACTTCAGAAGGGAACACAGCCCTGACAACGAATTTCAGGCAGTGGGTGAGAACCTTTCCAGCCGTCATTTGCTCACATGTGCCAAGGACATTCCCAAGATAGGACCTAGTGAATCCCAGAAGTCACAAAAAGGATGGGAGCAAGGAAATAGAAGAGATAAACAGTGATTGTCTCCATGGTAGACAAAAGCCAGCCTCACTAGGCAGCTGCTGTGTGCATGGGAGGACTTGCTCTCACTGAGTTTCCCAGAAGGCACAGTGGCCCTTTAAGGAAGCTGGTACATACCAGAGCCTGAAATTACCAAGCCTGAAATAAGTCTTACGTAAATGCCAATTTCGTATGGGGCTTTTGTGTACGTTTTTTTCAATGTATAATATATAATGGGTCCTTTTTGTAGAATGTGGCCTCTACTTAAATTCTATCTTAATTAAAGCCCGTTGTGGTTTAAAGACGTGGTGGCAGTTATACCTTAGATGCGAATACACTCAGCGAAGGGCAGGGAGCTGAACAGGGAACAATTGCTCATTATACTGTGTTCCTGCTTTCCGGTTTCTGCTGCTCCAGGCGGGTGGTGGGGGCGGGGCCCAGGAGGGGGTTGCTGGGGGCAGAAAGGAGCAGAGGTCTGGGCTGAGCAGAAGGGCAACACCCTTCTCTTGCCTCCAGCTGTTTGCTCATCTGGCTGTCTCAGCACTGTACCTGGCAAGGGCACCTGGCACAGACCAGACAGGGGAAGGCACTAGAGATCTACCTGTCACACCCCTTCTCCATTCACAGAAAGAACCTGACATGCAGAGGGTCAGGGTACAGAGACCGAGGAAGGGCACGTTGGAGGGTTGGGAAGAGAGGAGGCCTGTGTTGGATATGGGGGCAGCACACAGGGCAGATGTGGGGGTCTGCCTAGACCACATCTTTCCAGTGTCTCTGCAGAGGGGGTCTCTGTTGTCCTTCTGGTCCCCCAGCTGCCCCAGTCCATGCAGAGGACCTACCAGGAGCACGAGGATGATGGGGCCTTGATAGATGTAGTCCACCAGGTTGCCGGGTTCCTTGCCAAACCAGCACCTGCAAAGACCGGGTGGCTGTGGGTGGCCTGCTGAGCTGTGCTTGGGGGACTACTCCCAGAGTGGCACCAGTGCCCTCTGGCTTGTCCCTTTCTGAACACCATTTCCAGGGCTGTTCTTCCCAATATGCCATGCTGGGCAGCCCCGGCCCACTGGCTGCCTTGGCTGGGCCCCGAGTTGCGCTTTCCTCCACAGGCCTGGGGGTTGCTCCTCAGCTCTCTGCCCCATGAAGGTTTCTGGGCAGGGCTGGGCATACAGGAGGTGCAGGAACAAAGGGAGAGCTGGGCTCCTTTGCACTGGCCCGGGGCCCAACTGCCACCTGTTCCCACACTATTCAGACCTGCTGCTCTGTGTATCAGGCACTCGACTGCACAAGGGAGCAGATTTGGAGGTGGAGTCTTCCTTTACCCTGGGCCCCATCTTCCAGTCTTTGAGCTGAGCTGCATGCAACCACTGAAGGGAGCCTGCTGCCTGGCTGACCTCACTGTCTGTCAGAAGCTTGATTTACTCTCCAGGGATACCAGATGGAAAGATGCTTAATGATCTAGAGGAAGGGCAGGGGCAAGTTTCAGGCTGGCTGTGCCAGAAATGGCTGGACCTCAAGGAGGGTCTACTGAGTCTGGAAACTGTGCCCTGCATAGCCAGTGCACGCCAGCCTCCAAAGGAAATCTCCCCTACTGCCTCATGGCACCCAAATTTCTGGTCTCTACTTGAACACCCCATTTGACCAGAAGCTCACTACATACCAAGGTGGTCCAGCATTAGGACACCCCTTAAACTGGATCTGGTCTCTCCAGCCCCTGCAAGCCCTTGGAGATCCTCACACAGAGACTTAAGTTCCCCAGTCCCCCTTCTCTCACCCTCTGCAACCCCTCCGAATTCCTGTTTGCTCCTAGGCGGGCCTGTGGCTCAGTATACCAGTCTCTGGTGAGGGAGCACCCTGGGACAGGACACTGCACCCAAGCAGACACTGGAATGTCCCCAAACAAGCTCTGGGTGAGCTCCAGCCTCAGCTACCATTGAGCCGGAAAGCCTAACCCCTCAGTCTCTTCCATGTGTCTTTGGCCAGACCTGGCACATCCAACTCCAAGAAGGAGCACATTCCAAAGGCACATGGAGCACTGAAAGAAATCACGATTCCTAATTGAATTCAACAAGCCAAACTGGCTTAAGACTTACCAGTGAGTCCTGGGTGTGGGGATATTTCTGTCAGTCTAAGGACAACAGGACCAGGAGCCTGTCTAGGCCCGGCTACAGCTCCCACCCCTCGGTGGAGCCCAAGGCTGACCTGTCTAGATCCCACTGCCCCATACAGCTGCCCCACTTACTTTTCATCTTCATAACAGAGTTTGCCAATGGCCCAGGCGACAATGATGGGGCAGGGGACACCTGAAAGGACAGATGTGGGCTGTAAGGGGCAGACCATGGGAAAGGGACCCTCTTGTAGGACTCAGAGGAGGGGACCACATGGGGCCCTGGATCATGTTTCTGCTCTTCTAGCTTCAGTCCTTGCATGACCCAGGGATGCCCTGTCCCCAGGCCCCTGGATCCACTCTTAGCTGTCTTCTATGTGCAGGGGATGATGGCACGATTTCTGAGGGTTTGGGACAGAAGTAGAGCCAGCCACGTTCCCTTTAGACACCAGAGGCAAGTGCTTTGGCTCAATTGCTCAGGCAGAGGAGAGCTATCTGTGGGAAATCCTCTGGAGGGATTCTCAGCTCCTTTCTTGCCAGCATGGAGGAAGTGGCTGTATCCTGGGGCTGTTCTGGGGGAAGCAGGCAAGGCTGTGTCTGGTTCTTAGATCTAAGATGAAGGGAGGTGACCTCAACCACGACCCTCCCCTCCGAGACCCCAGAACCCTCACACCATCCAACGAAGAGGAAGATCCACTTGCGCAGGCACTCAGTGGAGTAGGCCATGACGATGGCCGTGTGCAGGTAGCAGCCCTCCACGAACATCCAGAAGAAGTTGGTGACCACAAAGTAGTTGAAGACGGTGGTGATGCAGCGACACCAAATCTGCACACAGGGCAGGGGTGTCAGGAGCTTTTTGGGGCCCAGGGAAGGCCAGCGCCCCAGGCAGGGCAGTGAGTCTCAGGACCTCCCAAAGGGTATTTGTGGTCACAGCCTCTCACTCAGAGAGGTTCATCCTTCCCAGCCCTTGCACTCTGGGATGCAGTTAAGGTGCCATTCCCCGCTGGTCCCCATGTGTTTTAATTTCTCAAGAACACTTCTGAATTTCTCTTTCTGAGAAAGGGGAGCTGGTTCTGAGCTTTCTGCAGGCAGAGGCTGGGACAACTATGGAATATGAGCTTTCACCCAGACTAAAATGCAACAAAGGGAGAGAAATGATCACATGAGGATGGGGCCCTGAAGGCCTTTGTGTGTGGGGACTTGGGGTGTGGAGTGGGCACCCTGGCTCTGCAGCGGGTCTTGCTAGCTCTGGGGCCTCTGGGAAGTTGCTGCCCTCTCTGAGCTTTGCTGGGCAGTGAGAGAAAAGGAAAGATGGCACAGACAGGCCAAGTATGTGCTGTGGCTGTGCTCAGGGCCCCTGCATGGTCTGCCTTCCCCAGCACAGAAGGATCTGTTCCTGTCCCTCTGGGCAAGGTGGTCCCCCCAGCACCTTCCTTGGGGTACAGGAAATGGAAGAACCTGATCAGAGCCATGCAAAACCAGGGTCCACCCATGGCCTTCCAGGCCTGAGCTTCCCCAGGATTTGTCTCCAGGCAGCTCAGAGCCAAGGTTGGACAGCCAGGAATTGGGCAGCAGCAGGCTGATGCCAGCCAGCTTGGGATTGGGGGAGTTCTGGGACACCCACTTCTCTGCCCAGCTCTGATGCCCTGGCCTGTTCGATAATCCTGTGCTTTGCTTCCAGCTGCTCTGTGGCTTTGCCCAATAGCCAAGCCCAGATCCTGGATCCATGTGGCTGTTTGCCTCCTTGGTCCTGGAAAGTTCTGCTGATATGGGAGGCTAAAGGGCCCTCCTGCCAGATTTGCCTGTTCTCCAAGTTATGCCGTGTACATTAGTACAAGCCAGTACTGGGCCTGGAGGGCCCCTGATGTCCAACTGTACCCGTTTGGTCATAATGTAGAGTCAGTTTAAGTGTCAGACCAGGCTGGGCATCTGGTTAGATTCAGGCTAAGAGAAGGAAATGGATTGAAAATTCACCAAGAAAATGTGCCAGGGCTGGGGATTTAACTTGGTGACACTGCGCCTGCCTCGCAAGCATGAGATCCTGAGTTTGATCCCGGGTACAAAAAAAATAAATAAATAAATAAAGGGGGAGGCGAGGAGGGGGTGAAGGGAGGGCAGGGACAAGGGGAAAAAATGAGAACCAAGACCTGTCATGTAAGGTACAAGATCCCAATAATGAATGTAACTGTACTGTATACCTAGATTGTACCAATTAACTCAATGAGGAAAAAAAAAAGAAGAAGAATCATTACAGCATGTGACCTTGGAGAGTCATTTAAGCTCTCTGAGCCTCAGTTTCCATATCTGTGTAATGAGGACAATCATCCCAACCTGTCTCATTGGCGCAAACTGAGATAAAGCTCAACAGAAGTTAGTGCCAGCCTCCCTTTAAGGAGCTTGACCTCACAAGGTGGGGAAAGACAGGTAAATCTGTCTGCTGTCAGGTGGAAGCAGCTCGGTGCCAGCTTCTCTGGCCCTGAGGGAGCAATGTTTGGGGTGCAGCAAGCTCGAGTCTGGTTTGCACCTGAGTATCAAGCAGAGAGCCACCCTGCCATGAGCCCAGAGCCCCCTGCCCAGCCTGAGCATCCCCAAACAGTGACCTCGTTGCTCTCGTGCACTTCGTGGTCAATGAGCTGCAGCAGGAACCACGTGACGTTTCGCAGGATGAAGGTGGTGACGAGGTTCCAGTGGATCACGTTCCGCAGGCAGCGGATGCTCCTAGGGGAGGCCAGGTGAGCCTGGGTCAGCTGGGACAGGTCCCCTGGGGTCAGAGCTCTGACATGGCTGGGGTTAGGGGCCAGGAAGAGACTTAGCCTAGGTTGGAGGGGCGCTGTATGGGAGCGAAGCCCCCCATCCCGATGGTGTCCATGGTCGGGTCTTCTGTGGCCAGTGTCTGGGCACCCAGCCCAACCCTCCTCTGTCCACTGGTTCTGGGTTCTTGGGGGAGGTGAGAACACCTGGGAGAAATGGGGACGAGGAGAGAGCAGGGCAGGAGCAGACTCACCGCAAGGCCAGGAAAAGCAGGAAGGCAGCCAGCAGTGCCGCCATGGAAACACAGTGGCCCAGGTAGTTGACCACAAGGGCAATGCGGTAGTGCAGGTCATACTTCCTCTGCTGGACAGACAACAAGCATGGCAGATGGAGGCAGGGGGCATAGCATGGGGCTGGGAACTCCAGCCATGGCCATTCCTATGTGCCCTGACTTTGGGGGCCAAAACTTTGGGGGCCTATGTGTCCCTCTACCCCCATGCCTGATTCTTAGAACTTGTTCCAGGGGGGCCTGGTGGCTCTAGTTGTTATAAATGGCCATGGTCAGCTGTCCCAATATGCATTTGGGGGGGCACATTTGGATATAGTCCATTCTGAGATATCCCAGAGATACAGGCACAAATTTGAAAAAAAAAAGAAAATCTAGACTCTACCATGCTATATTTGGGTTTAGGCTCTGCTCTAACTGAGCTGGTTGAGCAGCTGAGAATGAGGCTGAGCTGGGCTTCAGTTTTGACATCTGTAGAGTGAGGCCAGCCTGCCCTCGCGCCTCAGGAGCCGTGGCACAGGCAATTCCGGGGTCTGCCCCAAAATGCAGCTATGAGGAGGAGCAGGTCTGCAGAGCTGAGGGATGCTCCTCAGACCTGCTAAGTCAGTTCACTTTGGATCATCACCACGGGCCCCCGACTCCAAACAAAGTGCCAGAAGACTCCAGCTGAGAGAAAGCTGGAGCAGGCCCCACTTCCCATGGGGTCAGCCCTGGGGGCTGCACTTGATTCCAAACGGAGTCAGATTCAGCACGCCACATGCGGAAACTGAGGCTCAGCGGCACACATCCTTTAGGTGTTGGGGAGCACTCTTTTTCTGTCCCGTGCCTCCTTGGCTATGTCCTCCATCAGCCAGGCTGTGCTGGGGGTGGGACAGCATGCCTTCCTGCCCGACTCTCGCCACAGGATCATGGAGCACAGGACGGGCACAGTGGCATGGAAGTGCAAAAGGAATGGCTGGGTGACGTGGGACAGGCTCTGTCACTCCTGGGATCCTCTGTGCCCAACCTGAGTCCCCATACCTGTATAAGGACCAGGGTTGGGGCAGTGGGGCTACTCACCTTGTCATCCAAAACGGGCTCACACTGGGAGTAGTTGATCTTTGAGGCCCATGTCCCGTTCTCTAAGCATTCTCGGTAGGCGCTCCCTACAGAAGATGCCAACCACCGAGAGTCAGGTCACTACCCTCAAGAACCCTCTCTGGCTCCCTGGTGCCTGAAGGATAAGGTTCACATTCCTTAGCTTCCCTGGGCCTGGAAACACAATGCATGTCTGAAAGTTTACATGAAAGTCATTTATGTGAAAGTTGCATAAAAGGCTTATTTTATGTTATTAGCTAAAGAATATGTTAATATATATTTTAGATACAATCTTAGACTAGCTCTTTGCACACTTCCTTTCATTTTGCTTCAAAACTGAACCTAATTGTGAGCAATGAATTGCGGCTGAAGATTTGCTGCTTTTTAGCACAACAAAGACTTGCCATTCTTGCCTCAATCATTTTACAGTTATGAGCTCTGCACTTCTTTCACCAATATCAACAGCTGCGTTTTCATAATAGCTACCATCTGTATACATGTATTTCCATGTACCAGGTCTTCTTCCTGCCCTTAATCCTCATGACAGCCTTACCAGTGGCTGCTGATGAGGTATTAACTCATTTTACAGAGGAGGAAGCCAAGGCAAAAAAAA